AAAATAAAATTAAAAAAAAAAAAATTACACCCTTGGAAACTCCTATGGGGCAGTTCCACTTTGTCCTATAGGGTCACCAGGAATCAAAACTGACTTGACTTCAATGAGTTTGGTTAAGACCTGTCTCAGACCTCCCAAAGGTTTTTACTGGTAAACCAACACAGATATCTTAAAACTACTTTTTCCATGAAAAAGAATGCTACACTCAGGGACAAAGGAACTGGGTTCCAAGGCCACCCTTGTGTTAACAAGTCACTCTGCCTCTGTGGGTCTGTGTCCTCACATGTACCATGACTGTACATGTACCAAGTCTCCAACCCCAGTGTAGAGTCATATTTTTGTCCTTACACACCCCCTGCATCCCAGCATCTTTACTGAAGTTTCCACTGCTGTCTCCTGACTTTCTAAACGAGGTAAATGTTCTGAAGTTGAAATAACAGACTGAAATCTGGGAAACCTGTGTTCAAAGGCTTCCAATGTGCCCTGAGTTCAGACAGATCTCTTAATCTGACCAACAACTTCTGTTGGCTGTTATAGTACTACCAAAACAACAACAAAAAACCCAAACAAAACCCACTGCCATCTAGTTGATTCTGACTCACAGAGACCCTATAGAACAAAGCAGAATTGCCCCATATGGTTTCCAAGGCTGTAGAACTTTATGGAAGCAGACTGTTTCATCTTTCTCCTGCAGAGCAGCTAGTGGGTTTGAACACCAACCATTTGGTTAGCAGCCCAATGCTTTAACCACAGAACCACCAAAGCTGCTTAGAGTTGTAAGACTACCCACTGCCATCAAGTCAATTCTGACTCATAGCAACCCTCATTGTGTTTCCAGGGCTATAAATCTTTACGGAAGCAGACTGCCTCATCTTTTTCCCGAAGAGCAGCTGGTGGGTTTGAACCACTGACCTTCTGGTTAGCAGGCACGTGACTTACCCACTAAGCCACCAGAGCTCCTCAGTTGTAGGACTAGGTGCTCTTTAATATTTAAAACAAAACTCATCACTTTCGCACCTGAACTCAGATGTTGATATACTCAGTTACCTGTATTTTCCCTCTCATTCGTTACTCATTACATCTCTACCCCCATGCTTTAAGTTACAAATCCTGAAGTCTCCAGTCTCTAAAACTCAAACTATGATCTCAGCGCCACAGACCTGACATGGCTCAGATCATGCATGTCTTTCACTTGGTCTATTGTAACAGACTACTAATTCATCTCCCCATTTCTACTCTCTCTTCCCTCCAATCCATTCTCCACATTGTTGTCATAGTTATTCCAAAACATAAAAATTACCCTGCCTAAATACCTCTATCAGCTTCCAAATGCCTTTGGAGTACATGCTAAACTTTTCTAGGCCTAGAACCCACCTCTGGAGTCTCCCACATACACTATCTCTCAGTCACCCTTTCCAGTTGTGGCATGTGTTTTTACACCATTTTATCTTTTGGCTGGGATGGCTCATGGCCTTCTGAGTGGGGACTCATCCTTTCGGGAATGGACCCAAGGTACCCTCTAGTCTGTTCCAGGTCACAGTAGCATTTCTCCTTTATGCTCTTTGCCTGCACTCTATCGTTTCACTTACCATCTCTGTTCTATTCACCTGTTTTCCTGCTGCTCTCCCTGACATCCACAAAGTGGTTGCCCTATGATAGTCTACTACAGCATTTACAGTGCAGGCTTTGGAGCCAGACTGCCAGGATTCAAATAAGAGCTCTATTCCCTACTGGTTATGTCATCTTAAACAAGTTACTTAATCTCAAGTCTCTCTTTATATGTTTGAAATAAACAAGAGCTTGGACCTCAACGGATTATGAACAGAGACAATGTAGGATAAATTCTTAGCACTGCTCCTGGCTCCTTGTCGTAGTACAAAAATAAGAATAATTGTAGTAACAATAGCAATACTAGCAGAAATAGGACGCAGTGACCCAGCCCTTACAGTGTGTCAGAAATTGTTCAGAGCATCAATTCATTTAACTGCCACTCCTCAGAAGAAAACTAGGCAATCTACTTCAGTAGAGATACCACCTTGGAAACCCAAGGAGGGGTCACTTTGAGTCGGATTCGACTCGACAGGCAGTGAGTTTTATTTATTTTTTTACATGGAATTGTGTATTATTACATTCCTTATCATCGCCTTTTTTGCGGATGAAAAAACTGAGAGCACAGAATGCTTAAGTGGTTCAAAGTTACCCGACAAAGATAGAATTTCAGCTTGGAGTCAGAAGCCTAGCTTTTTATCACCACACTTTGTGCCTGAGCACTTTTTTAGTGCTAGATTATCAGGCAACCATTAAATGTTTAGATTAAAAAAAAAAAAAAAAGACAAAGATATAAATGGAAAAACACTAAAGCAGATACATTCCTATGAAAAACTCAAATCGTTGATTTGTATAAACGAGTGTTTTTTTCTTACTCCTTTATTTTG